TTCATCTTTTCTGTAAATGGATTTTTTCTATTATTGAACGATTAAAAACGAATGCATTTATCAAGTATAAATATAAATTATAGCACGTGCAAATTTTTTATTTGCAGTAGATACAAGTTTCTGTAAGATACAAGCAAACGTGTATATTAATAATATATGAAGATTAATATTGATCGTGCGTGAATAAGATTTTATTTCTTTTTATTTAATTTTAAAGTATAACTTTTTTTTGCACAAGTATATTTCCAATATTTATTAATGATCTCCGTTCAAATAAATGAATCGCTATCTTATCGAGTCACAAGTGTCTTTCAAGTGTACTTTGTTTCAGGGCATTACTTTTCTCCAAGATACATTTCGTTCAAACGATCGGACACGTCTTGCAGCTGATCATAGGATACTTTCTTATGCTAATTTTTATGACATACAACGTTTGGCTCTGCTTAGCTGTCGCGATCGGTACTGCCCTAGGTTACTGGCTGTTTTCTTGGGAAAAGTCCAGCGGCGACAATATTGACTGCTGTTTGTAGTAATAAGATCTTGTTCTCTCTCTGTCTAGCCGAAACGAGATTCTACAAACAGGTACGAGTTCAAACCTCATTTCGTAATCTCTGAGAGTGACTAAACCCAAACATATAATATCCAATTCTTAAGAGTAAATTTAAACAAATTCAATTTTATCGAAATTATCACATTCTCTAGCCATTTCGAAACTTTTAGTTCGAAACTTTAATAAAATGATAACTTTATAAAATAATCTCATACGATTGAGACTTTGATCAAATTCTTTTTTCCCCCGATTGAAAGCCAGCATCAAACTTCAGTGTTTTTAATTAATTTTTAAATTAATTTCTCTTTTGTAGATTCCTTTTAAATTGTGAATTACAAACTAACGAAATAATATTGATTGAAAACCTAGTTTATATAATCCACCATTGTGTGATATTAATAATTATAAAACGCTCACGAACGATTTTCTGTCGAAAGAAAATTTTATATTTATAATTACTGTGTTACAGGAACTGTTCTAATGAAGTGAACACAAAAGTTGACTAATCGGTACCACAATATCGTAAAACGTCCATATTTCGATCACACGGTCCGCCCCGTCTCACTGGGAAGGGAATTTACGAGCTTGATCCGAATCTAAGGTTGCATACAAAAAAATAATGTCCAACAATAGTTCAGAGACTATTTTCAATAACAGTACACCATGCGTGTACAGAAGACAGTTCAAGTCGATGGACGAGATACTGCTTGGATGGGATAGATTCAATGCTAGGGCGTTTCTTACTATCTTCTGCCTCTTTTGCATTTGGTGCATAACATTTTTCTTGACGTATAAGCAGGAAGGTTCTCATGAGGGTCACGAAGGTCATGAAGGCCACAACGGTCACGAAGGCCACGCTGGTCATGAAGGCCATGGGATGTCTATGGGTCTGTGAATTTTTACGCTTCCGGAGGTATGTAAATATTCTAAATCATTTTAGTTAATTAACATCAATCATTTTTCAGTTATTCTGTTTAATAATACTTTACCAAAGATGTACTGACAAGTAATCGATCGATTGTGAGTTTCATTTTGAATCGAATGTTTCACGAAATATATGTTCTTTATAGACATTGTAGTTAACACCTTTCACTATGTTAAATATATTATTACACTTTTATTTACAATTTTTTATTTATAATATTCAAGTGAAATATAATACGAGAAGACCGAAAAGTCTATAATTCTTCCTTTAGACAGATTTAGATAATTAATGCAATTGGCACTTAATATTGAATTGATATCATTTAATTTTATTTACAGATTATTAACGACATTAGCTCGCTGAACATCATAATCATAAACGATAAAAATCTCATTAGCATCGAAGAAATAAATTGTTAAATTGAAAGCCGTATGTGAAGTACTGTGTATAATATAAAAATTCTGTTGGCAATTTTAAATTCTTGATCTTACGATATACATTTTTATTGTAATTAAACGGTCTCTTAACGTTAGTTTTTATAGTCACGTTATTTTTATCTTTTCCATAAACATGCTTTCTGTATCGTCATCGCTGACGCATATTTATTGCATTTTACACTGCACATACAGTGCACATCTAGTGGAAACGATGGAATAATGATCACTTTTTATGTAACCGTTCTAGCTTCGAATGTAGGAATCATGATTTTAATTTCCATGCGTACCTTGAAGTGAAAATTCATTCATCTTTTATTCATATTATTTCTAATATTTTATACGAATAAGCCTATTTAACTAAGAAACATATTATCATTAAGAATTAAATCGTCTACCATGATAAAGTAGTAAGAAACACCCTAAGAATGGAAACAGAAAGATATTAAAATTAATTCATTCGTTTGCATTATAAAGTAATGATTAAGCTGCAGAGTTTTATGCAAAATTAGAATTGTCTGCACCAGTTGGAAAAAATAGAAAATAAATAGCAGATCTATTCTTTCTTTAACCATTTTAATAGATTAGAGATCTATTTTGTCATAAATGCACAGAATCCGTAGTCTACTAACGATACTTTGTCGAATTTATTTGTTCTAATGTATTAATAAAAAATAAATAAATGAGAAATGTTTGCGTAACCACTTCCAAGAAGTAATTATGAAAATGATGACTACTTTCAAAGAAGTAAACTGGCGACTAACTACAACAGTTTCAATAAATTGGAAACACTGTAACTAAGATTCTTACGTTCTCCTGATGTCTTCACGGATCTGTATTTCGCTTATCCATTTTTTTCATAAACGTACAAAATCCTCAGTCTAATAATGACACGCTATATGTATTTTACGTTGTATCGAACGATGTCGAGGACCAATGAAATCGTTGCGCAACCCCACAGAACCGTGGATCGCGGGCACACTGGATTCGAAGGGAGTACAATGCCGCAGTTTACCGGCAGGTTGCTGGTGACTATCGTATTGAAGTCTTATTGTCTTGGAGATAATATCACGTGCTCATTTTAGCCCCCCTTCCGCTGTTCGAGGGCAGACCCGGCGAGAGATCAACAGTTATCGCGGACCCCTTTCATTTCAGTGCTGCTCATCCGCTTCTCCCCGAGGTGCACCCTCTCAGCACCACCGCCACATTCACCTGTCTTGGCCAGCCTTTGAACATTACGCCTTTTGAACCCGATAATCCATGGGGATTGCGCCCCGACGCGACAGTACGTCATTTTACATCTTTTACCTTCGGTTAGAATTCGCTCTCCGCCGATATCCCTCCCTGAAACACGACTGTTTGATGCTCGAGCTTATTTATCACGGAATTCGTATCGCTGTTCCCTAATACCTTGACATGTTTACGCGAACCATGCAACTCGGCAGTTGAACACGATCGATAACTGCGCGAAAAATAAACCCTTATCGTGCGAATCGTTTCGTTCGATCAAAACTTCGTTACTGGCACAGTGAAAGTTTATTATCCCGCGGCAACTAGGTATTCTCGACGATTCCGTGACTAGAGCCAGTCTCGAAATCACACCTATCATTTCCTTTTTAAATGTTTCCGAACTTATTTCTTCGTAATTTGCGGTGAGCCCTTCATTGGACTTGATACGGATAACTAATAATTTCAAACGTTGCGAAATAACGTAACGGTTGATGCAGAACTTGCTGTATTTCGACAAAACGAGCGCAAATTCCGTCCATCCAAGGGTTAAATGTAAATTCGTCGAAGTTTTCTTAAGATCGTACAGAGAAGCTAGTGAATAATTAGATAACCAGCCAGCCACGATCGGATCTGTTAATATTTTCATAAACAAGAAGAATTTAAACTTCTTAAATTTAAACGATAAACAATTGAAAGAAACAACGTATAAGAACAACAACGAATAGAAGTAATTGTCGAATGTCTCTAAAGAAACAATTTATCTTTCAAAATTCAATCTTTTAAGCAATTAATCTATTTCTGTGAGTGCAGAAACTGTTTAAATATTTTGGATAGCAATTATTAATTCATTAAAGAAAGTTGAATGAAAACCAATTTGTGTAGTAAAGATACACAATTGTCAATACATTTATACTTCTGATCGCATTGTTCTCCGCACGTTGTGTAATTTGAAATCTTTTTACAAACGAGTAATTTTTAATACTAAATCTGATCGTCGGATCAAATGGCCAATTTCACTTTCTTCGCTTAAAAATGGTTAAAATCATAAAGACTCTTTCTCAGGAAGTAATCAAACAAATTTCTTAATTCAAGTCTACATTATAATAAAAATGGCGTAAGTGTTAAATAAATTGAATCTCGTGATTCTCATAAAACAACAGATAATATTCAATTTTAATGATCTGTACGTCTAGCGTTAAATATTATAATTATCTCCCCGAGAAAAAACTGGATCGTCTATTATATAAACAATTAAATGATCTGTTCGCGATATTAGTAATTAGACACACGGTCCTGTTAATAATGTCGCCAATGCGTCGATGTTCATCCTCAAAGAGTTTAATCTTTGTGGGCGCGTCAATGGAACGAAAGCTTTCGCGTTCGACGTTTGACTCGTGCTAGGAAGAGAATGGTAACCCGATGGATCGAATAATCGCAGAGGAATCATTCCCAACCATCCAGGCAGTGTGTGGGTGTACGCGTGTGCGACTGGTCGATACTGGCGTCGGCTGCTGGTACAGCTGTGCATTTCTCTTTTACGCACCGTCCCCAGAAACGGTCCTTGCTCTCACTGTCTGATCCGATCCCTTAACATCGCGTCACCTCAAATGGTATCGCACATCTACATAACCTATAGTACACGCTGCGTGTCCGAGCCGACAGTTCCCCTGTGATTAACATAATCGGACAGACAACGAATACACCGCTAAATAAATTGTGACACCCTGGGCACGTCTCAATTTTATAGCGTTCTCGTTCCGAGATACAGCTACGATCGTAATCCAATGAATCGTGTGCACGATCGACGTCACCGCGTTCCACTTTTGTCGCTCGCAGATAATGAACAATATCTTCTTGCCTTCTCTCGATTGGTATATATATACCAATGTACATATACCAATGGTATATTCATTCACGTTCGTCCGTAGCATTTTAGAATTTTATTGAAACATGAGACATCGTTGACTAAAGTAAGATGTGATCTAATTGTGTATCATGGATGCAAGGAAAATTGCGATTAATCATGTTAATTTGTTGATTAAACACTAGACGGGTCTAAAAAAATAAAGAGAATAATTTAGTTGTATTCGCTACAGTTCTTAAATACGATTGAAACATCTCTATGAATTGTGTGTGATCTTTACAATGAATTTCCGTTTACTGGGGTTCTTTTCGTTTAGAAATTCAGAACACACAGAAGATGGAAGAAAGTAAAACAGTAGGTTGGAAGGCTTGTTTCTAAACGAAAACTATCTGGCCACTATCCAACCTGGCTGTCGTCCACGTGTTGCATCTGACACAGTGTTGCAGCAACGGGTGCTGTGCAACAATGCAGAAACGTTTGAGGACATACCACTGCAGACGAATCTGTTGCACGACATAAAACATAATCTATGCAACATGCTTATGTATTTCCGATTACTAAGTAACGTTTTAAACAAGTAATTTTCGTTCTACAATGTCGTGCATATTCTCAGTGTTTGTTTCTTTTTACAGCATTAATGAAGTAATTAGGGAAAGGAAACTCTTTATAACTGACGTAGAGTGAACATTAAGAATAATTAATTAATTAGAAATAAAACCTGTACAAATCTGTAATGAGAATATGGCACAAGAATGCGTTCTAGATTCTTTCATTGTAAAAGTATACGATTATTATTAATGTTTGTTTAAGTTCAAATAAAATCGAATTGAGAGGTATATGAGAAATTCTTCTATCGCAAATATTTCCAAACGATGCGTATTTAAAAAGAATATAAAAAAATTCGTCCATCGAATAATTTAATAAAATTAATGTATTAAAATATACTCGAATATATTCACTGTAAAAATCATGTATTGAATTACTTAATTAGGAATGTTATAAAAA